TTGACATGAACAGTGGGCTCTGGGAAGTTCTGAGTGGTTCTTTCCCTTTCTTTCTCACATGTCCACAGAGGCACATAATTTTAGTCCTGACTCTTCGCTGTCCCATTCTGTTTCACAATGGCATCATATTGTTTCATTTTCTAAACCAGGATGGCCCTTAGCTCTTATTAATCTGTCATTATTAGGAATGAGAGGATATAGAAAACAAAGATAAAAATTAATGAGTATGATAGGCTTTCAACAGTATGTGAACCGTGACTTCCAGATGTTCAAGCTGGTTTTAGAAGAGGCAGAGGAACCAGAGATCAAATTGCCAATATCCGTTGGATCATGGAAAAAACAAGGGAGTTCCGGAAAAACATCTATTTCTGCTTTATTGACTATGCCAAAGTCTTTGTGTGGATCACCACAAACTGTGGAAAATTCTGAAAGAAATGGGAATACCAGACCATCTGACCTACGTCTTCAGAAATCTGTATGCAGATCAGGAAGCAACAGTTAGAACCGGACATGGAACAACAGACTGGTTTCAAATTGGGAAAGGAGTACATCAAGGAAGTGCCGAAGAATTGATGCTTTTGAACTGTGGTGTTGGAGAAGACTCTTGAGAGTCCCTTGGACTGCAAGGAGATCCAACCAGTTCATCCTAAAGGAGATCAGTCCTGGGTGTTCATTGGAAAGACTGATGCTGAAGCTGAAACTCCAATACTTTGTTCACCTGATTCGAAGAATTGACTCATTTGAAGAGACCCTGATGCTGGGAAGGAGAAGGCGGGAGGAGAAGGGGACAACAGAGGATTAGATGGTTGGATGACATCACCGACTCAGTGGACATGAGTTTGAGTAAACTCTGGGAGCTGGTGATGGACCGGAAGGCCTGGCGTGCTGCATTCCATGGGGTCACAAAGAGTGGGACACAACTGAGCGACTGAACTGAACTGAACTGATAGTAGGCTTTAATCTTACGGCAGCCACTATATATGAATCTGAGGAGTGACATTTCTTATTTCAATCTTGAGTTGTGGAGCACTTCATTTTTTAATAAATTCTAAACTGCTTAAATGAACATAATGAATACCACAGTTTACAAAAACATGAACTTCATCAGTTGGGTGTAAAGACAAAAGTCTTTCACGTCTGATATTTGAAAAATAATAAAGAGAGAGACCTCTTTCTATTTACTCTTGTTTGACTGAAAGGAATCCTAACCAAATAAAATCTTCTAAAAGGAAAAAGCCTCTATCAGCCTAGATCTACTTTTTGGGTCACTAAATCTTATGTGAGGCATGTGAAGATATTAATAACTCATCAGTCACTTCCAGTCAAATGAATGAATATGCAAGGATGAACTAATTTACTCGTGCAGCAGCAGCCTCTATCTTATACATCTCTTGCCTACCTCTAACCCCTACCACTAGACTATGAGTTACTTGTGAACATGGGTTGCATTTTATATTTCATAAAGGTGCCCAATAAATATCTGCTCATTGAATGAATGAACAAACCAATTTATTATTAGTAACATCTTAATACAATGAATTCAACATTAAAAACTTATGGTATGTTACAAGATAATCAGCACCATATTATAGCATGTTAAAGAGCAATAGTTAACATATTTTTAAATGCTGAGACTCTTTAAAAACTAAACTTTGAAAACAAGATAAGCCCTACTGGAATCTTTTCATTCAATAAGCCAATACTGAAAGAAGAATCTTTTCAGAGTATCCAGGACTCTGAACTGCATGTTCTAGTGCTGTTTTTTGTTTTTTTGTTTTTTTTTAAGAGTCAGTATTACAAAGCTAAAATACACCAAGAGTAAATTAATAAGAAAAATCTACACAGCTAGAGCTTTGTTGAATTAGAATTCCTGGGCTCCCAATAAGGGCTAAATCCCAAAGGGATCAGAGTCAAGTAAATAAAAAATCCATCTGAATTTTATCAGAGGGCAAAGTTTCAACTTTGAATACCCCAGCAACCAAGGATGAATTATGTATAAGATTAGTAAAGTGCCTTCATCCACACCCCAGCCAGAGAACATTCTTCTATCTCACTGTGACTGAAGGAAAAGCAGCAGTGTATTTGCCTGCCAAGAATAGTTGTGGGTATACTCTAGATAGAAGTTTAACAACACTGAGGGATTAAAATTTAATAGTAAAGCTGCTGCTACCTAGGAGTAAAAGCTTGAACTCTGGCATCAGAAAGAAATAGGGACTTCAGCATGCTGAATAGATGAAAACAAGAGCTGGCAAGTGCCTAACAAAGACTATGAGAGTATGTTCCCTTCTTAAATTCTTCCCCAAACTGCTTCTTTCTCTGCATATCCTATTTATAATATGCAAGAGTGCTCAAAAGGAATATAGCCCTTTTCTACACTTTGAATAGTACATATACATTTCATTTCCAGAATGCTTGAAATTACAGGATGAGGTTAAAGGGTGATTATGTGGTCTGAATTCTCTGAATATCAGTTCTCTTAGTTTTGTTGAACATCACCTGAAGCCCAAATAATTTCTTTTCTTGAAGCTGGCAGTCGAGACAGACATAAGGCAATCTTAATATTAATTAGAGAACTAAGAGAGATTATTTTTTTCTCAAATTCAGATAGAATACCATTAATAGCAAATCTTTCACTGAGGCCTTATCAGCATTAAGGAACACACTGAAGTTTCCAATGTATTGTTACAACTGCTAGAAGTACATCTGTTACCTAAAAATCCCACTTTAGAAAAACAAAACAAAAAAGCCCCATGAGTTATGTTATTTTAGACAAAAAGTTTATTCTGTTCAGTTAAACTTCCTCACACAATCCTTGACAAACTTCACCTTTGATTTTGAAAGTAGAGTGATGCTGGAACATAAGATATAGCTTTTAGTTTATATTAAGCTTCTTTTTCTTTTTTTTACTGTTTCAAAGAGTTAATTAAATTCCCTCTGAATCACTACAAATGAGTGCCTACTATTTCTTCAGTATTACTGCACATTTTAGACAATTAGAAAGGCTGAAATTCTTTATACGGTTGTATGAGTATGTGATATAAACAATCAGTGTACTTTAAGTGATTTACTAACCAGAATAGGAATGAAATTAAAGTGAACCAGTTTAAAGACAAAAAAGCAAATGGGCATTCTTTATTTTAAAACATCAGACTGCATCAAATAGGCTTATACAAGAAAGAACATTTCCAGGTAGTTTATTTGTCTACTTAGATCTTTTCAGTAAGCATTTCTGCAATCTAAGGGCCCTTTCTACTTTCTGACAATCCATACTGGCCTCTTTGTTTAAAATTCTTCTCCAAATTCATCTCCTATAGGAAGACACTAGTAAGACCACTTTACTGTCATCACTCCATCAGTCTATAATTCCTTCAGGATTACTATATTTGGTTTGAAATTTATTCTTCTGTAGTTGTTTTGGTATAACTTGAGAGGTGACATATTTTTGAAACCAAATATATATGTGACTAAAGGACTATCTGTTGTGTGATTTCAAGGAATTCTTAACTTGATTGGCTCAAACTTCCTCATCTATTACATTGGAAGACCACAATCTGTCCTCCAATGCCTCTGGTAAGAACTAATGAGAGTTTAAGTATAAACTTTTAAAAAAGAAAACTAATGAAAATCAGTGTACTTTAAGTGATTTACTAACCAGAATAGGAATGAAATTAAAGTGAACCAGTTTAAAGACAAAAAAGCAAATGGGCATTCTTTATTTTAAAACATCAGACTTCATCAAATAGGCTTATACAAGAAAGAACATTTCCAGGTAGTTTATTTGTCTACTTAGATCTTTTCAGTAAGCATTTCTGCAATCTAAGGGCCCTTTCTACTTTCTGACAATCCATACTGGCCTCTTTGTTTAAAATTCTTCTCCAAATTCATCTCCTATAGGAAGACACTAGTAAGACCACTTTACTGTCATCACTCCATCAGTCTATAATTCCTTCAGGATTACTATATTTGGTTTGAAATTTATTCTTCTGTAGTTGTTTTGGTATAACTTGAGAGGTGACATATTTTTGAAACCAAATATATATGTGACTAAAGGACTATCTGTTGTGTGATTTCAAGGAATTCTTAACTTGATTGGCTCAAACTTCCTCATCTATTACATTGGAAGACCACAATCTGTCCTCCAATGCCTCTGGTAAGAACTAATGAGAGTTTAAGTATAAACTTTTAAAAAAGAAAACTAATGAAGTCCACATTACTCCTGGTATAGAATTATAACACATTAATTAGTTGTACTAATTTAGTTCTTTTGAGCATTAAAAATTTGATTGGTGGGGGAAGGAGCAAAATTCCACTCGAAAAAAGCTAAAATAACTATTCCTCAAGATTTTAATTTTCCTCTGTACCCCATTAATTCTTTCCATTTAGAGGACTATGCTGGGTCTACAAAAAATCTTTTCTAAAACAAAAATCAGCAGGTTTCCTAATATGAATTCTAATACCACTAGTGTTACAAATTTGGAATGAGTGATTTACATCAATATCCGGGCACAATTCTTCTACCTGCTATGCAGTCCATTTGCCTCAAGTGCTAATGAATAATAATAAATATATTCACAGCAGTTAGTGATAGAGTAACTTAGACTTTGGCACTGAGGCTTTCACTTTGAGGGGGGCGAAGATGATTAAAATATTCTGCCAAATGAATTCAGGGAGAGCTTTTATGAATTTCATACCTGTTAAGCATGTGTTATTAGGGAAAGAGGGTGCTTTCCACAAACTTCAAAACTGAATTAAATCCTGGTGAAAGGATATAGACATGCATTAAAAAGTACATTGCCCTAACTTTTATTCTTTCTCTTTTGTCTTTGAAGAGTTCAGTACTCAGAAAATTTGGATGAAGAAGAACATTAGCAATTCCATAAATTTCTCATTCTGGTTCTTTTTGAAGGAGAACAATGAGGATGAAGTATGAGTATTACCCTTGTAAAAAGAGGAGAACAACTTTTCTCTTGCTACAAATATCCCAGTTAATTAAGAAAATCAAAATTGGAATATGCCAGACTGCCCAAATAAAGACTTTCGTGGTACCAACAGTGGAACAAAAGTGTAAACATTTAAAACTTTTGACCTATTACAATAGATTTACTTTGTTATCAGGATATTCTCTGGGAAATACCTCATATATATTACTATGGAAACAGCATGTTATAGAAGAGTATTTTCCCAGAATTTATGCTTAGTTACAATTCAAAACGTTTTTAAAACTGTATTAGTTCTTGAAAATAATTCATTTTCAAAGTGAAGAAACATTTTAATTTCAGTTTAATTTCTGAATGGGGCCCTAGGTATTTAGAATGCAACTCTCTTAGGGTTTTAGTAAAGTCAGATGAAGAATATAAAAAACCTTTCACCTGTAGACAGATTTCATGTCACTGGTTATGACAACAGAAAATTAGGAACCTTTAAACTGATGTATATCAATACATGGTTATAATTGTCTATCTATTCCCCTAGTTATAAAGACAATCTTTGTCCTGGAAAAAATTATAATAATGGACAAACCTTCTCAAAAGTTCTCGTTACTATTCAGTAAAAGACACTTGGCATTTATATCTGCTTATTACTTTTTAAAATGTACTTTAGGGAGAGAAATGTTAATTATTTTGGGGAAGGGACTGAAGAAATCCCAGTGAGACATTCTGTAGAGAGGTCTTTTGTTAGTGTAACATCTGACCTTCTATATCTTTGGAAATCATGCAACTTGGCTAATGTAGTCCTTAAAGAATTAATCAAGCAGATTGTTAGGCCCTAGTTACAGTGAAGCCAGCCAATTATGAGTTGCTCAGAAATTCATCACTGGCATGTCCAACCACATTTTCCCACATAAAGATTAGTAGAAATATGTGGAAACGGGGCCCATTCCCACCCTAGCACAGCTACAATATGTGTTCAGTGAAAAAAATTTTAACCAAGTTTTGCCTTAGTGAAACAAATAATTTATCTGGAAGTCTTTTTAATTTCTGTCTTTACCCATAACACCTTATCTGCCAACATTGCAAATGCTGCCCCGTTAAGTTAAAACCCAACTAGGGATTTTTATATTCAAACACAAAAGCACTAAAGTCACATGCCACAAGCCTGAATTTATCTGTAAGTTAATGAAATTTCCAAACACCATCTTCAGTCTTTTCACTGTTGTAATAACGCCCTCCCAAGGCTTACTAAGAAGAAAGCTTTTCTTGCAAGAGAGGAATGAAAGGAGTCAGAGTAGATGAAGATTGGTTCTGTAAGGAGAGGGCAGTGCTGCTCTTAAATAAAGAAGCGTCTTTCAGATAAGCAGAATCAGATTCCAGTTCATTGGTTTGCTGGCTACCCTTACTTTGAACTCTCATATTTAACCCAGCAGGCTTCAAAGCAGGTGAGAAAATGACCTACCACTTAAAAGCAATTTTTCCTTTTTCAGGAATTCTGGCCTTAAGAGACTATCAGCTCTGATATCAGCACATTCCACATCTCCAGGGATTTATGCAATTTTTCTTCCCATTGCTCTATGTCTACTGTCAGGCTAAGTTTTCATCTCAGCCAGGAGAAAAATCAGGAGAAAAAGTCCTAATGTGCTGAAGATGAAATCTTTTTCCATGGCTTTATATCATGCAAAAGAAGGGGCACTAAAACACTAGCCATTCTAGTTCGTTCCCTTCCATTTATGTAAATCTGATGTCCAGTGAGGATTACTACAAATTACTAATCCCTAGCGCCTTGCTTCACGAAAAAGCAATCTTTGTAACAAGTGCATTTTAACAAATTCAGACTGAATTTCCTCTAGCATGTGAAATAATACAAGAAGTTATTAGATGAAGGAGAGACAATGGCAACAATGGAAGGAACTAGGAAATTTTCTTAAACCTCTTTGCCTTACTTAATATTAGAATAAATATGTTTCAAAGATTCTTCATTGATTTCTACATTTAATTGTACTTGGCTATCAAATATCTGACTTAACTAAAAATTTTTAACACATGCAGTTTGCAACTTACCAATGAGTTTTGCTCTATAAGGCAGTTTGCTAGTGCCTAGAATTTGAAACATTTCTTCACTTTCTGGTGCACATAATGGACCAGAAGTATAGTACTAAAAGTATTGATTAAATGATACCTAACAGCCATTTCTACTACTATTTTTATGGAAAAATGCATTTTTGGTTTATTAGTAGGACATAGCTCTTCCAAACATGAAGAGGGTAGAGTTTCTCACTACAGCTGCACTTTGGTGATGATGATGACAATGATGATAACAACAGCTAACACCTACTTTTTACTGTGGGCAGACACTCTTGATAAATTTTAAACTCATTTAGCCCTCACAAAAATCCAAGAGGTAATACTATTCTCATTTTACAACTGGGGGGTGGGGAAGGTTAAGCAACTTACCCAAGGTTGCACAGCCAGTAAGTGTCACAACTGAAATCCAAAGCAAAATAGTCTGGCTCCAGAGCCTCTGCTCATAATGACTCTACAATCTTGTCCCTTCTCCACCTTGATATGGTGGCACCATCCAGGAATTATAAATTCCTCTACTGGGGGTAGAGTAGAGCAAGGGCTTCTTAAGCTTTAAATGTATATAGACTCCTCTGGGGATCTTGCTTCTAACAATGTCCTGGGTGATGGTAATGCTCCTGGGGCAGAGACCACACAATATTAAGTGGTAAGAAGCATGTGAGCCTTTAGTTCTCTTGCTGTCTGTCTACTAGGGTAATTGTTCATTGAGTTTATAAACTGGAGTCTGCCTATATTGCTTTCATTTCCCATTAATTCTTAAATGGAAACAGCCCTTGGAACTGCTGCATACCGAATGTTGATTTGCAGGTACTTTCAGTAAATACTTAACTTTTAGGAATTTAAACTGTACATGTAAAGGCCATAGGGATAAAATCTAGCTATAGAAGTTTGCTGTCAGGCACATTTTAAACACTACATACCAGCAACACATACCAAAAGATAGTAAACAAATATCTGTTTATTGTTCATCAACTAGAATCACAGTAAATTAATAACTTTTGACCTAAAGAAGGAGCTTCAACTTTCAAATGGATAATTATTTATTCTCAGATACTGCTAGGAGCTTGTGTTATGTAATCCTAAAGGCTCTTTTGGTGCATCAGAGATCGCTTAGGTAAAGGCAGACACGATATACCAACACATGGATACAGCAGACAGTGAGTGCACTCCACATTAATTTTAGCCAGTACCTCATGGAAGGACACTGCTAACAATTACTATCTCTCTACTCCAGATTCTAGACCTCCCTCCTCTCTCTATTTTACTTCCTTCCCACTGCCCTGAGAGACCATTTCTCCCACTGCTTTTCTATGATCTCAAATACACAGCGGTGTATTTTTTTCTGCTTGTTAAATGGACAGGATTCTCTGTTTAGTCCACTTTTTTCCATGCCAGATTACACAGTGACGTCATTTCAGTTTGAGACACACACTTGCCAATCAGCACCACTGCAAGCAACAGAGTTATGGTATGATCAGTAAGCTTTCTTTTTTTTTTAATTTTTTTATCTTAGTAAGCTTTCTTTTTATACTGAGAGGAAGCAGAAGAGTCAGCTTCCAACCCGAATGTCTATACTCCCTGAGCAGCAGTAAAAAGTCATCCTTCTTGCAGCCGGACCCAGAATCAACTGGAGTCTCAAACTCTTAGGCCTACAGCCAGTGGCAACTTAACACATTATAATAGTTGACCTTCAGGGAAAAAGAGAAACCAGTGCTCTCACTACTGGTGCCAGAAGAAAACCAGCTAATCTTTAAGGCACAAAATAAACTATTCTTAAGGCAGGAAAAGAAAGTGTGAGGACACAGGGAGTTATAATGGAGGCACATAGAGAAAAATAAAGAAACTGCATTACCAAATAAAGGCTAATATTTCTATGGTTCTCAGGGCTTTTCTATTTGGGAGTATAATGAATTAACATTTTCTTTTTGGGTTTGAACTCATTACTTGGTAAAAATGCAAAGATGTACAAGACATGTCTTTTTTATTAGGCTCAGAGACTTAAAAGGGACTTCTTTTTGGTAATTTTGCTTTGAGTCAGTGACATTAATTAGTAGGTTTATGTAGAAAAATTAATAATCACAAGATACTCTTTAAAATCAGTCCTCAAGTACTTTCTGGACCTGGGACAGGAAATGGGGAAGCAGTTCAAAACTAAAGGGTAAAAAGGAAAATAAAGGTCTGAAGATGGTTCTACACCCAAGGTTGGGAAGATCAATAAGAATATGCACATATAATAATAATGAGGACTTCTGAGTGAAGGGGCACATTCTGAACCCAGGACAAATGTCTCAACTGTCCTATCTTACCTACTTATTCCCTATCCTAGCTGCACTCTTGAATATAACATTCAGCAAATCCTTAGAATTAATGATTTCATTTAAATGGAAAAACCAAAAGGCTTTTGTACAAAACAAGGAATTTTTTTTTAAATGCCAAAGAAAATGCATTTAAAAGGGCTGGATTATTCTTTAACTAGTAACAAGGGTTGTGTTTACCACCAAAAGTGATCCACAAAGACCAGCTTTATAATTTATGACATTGTATTTTGAAAACTTCTAAGCAACAAAAATATAGCTCAAATCACCAAAAACTTATGTTTGACATATTTACGGCAGCAACTTTACAAATCAATTCCTGTAATTTACTTTATAACAAATATCTTCCACTGCTCAACTGGTTTAGCACAAACAGATCAGAGATGGTTTCTTGTGTGTTTTACAAATATTCTACACAAGTCCTTGAGATCATACTTACAGCTTTAGCAAAAACACCCATGATCTCAGGAAACTGGTGTGTAAGCAAAGCTATCACTGCTGTAGAAGAACATAGTCCTGCTGTGAAATGGATGAAAAAAGGAATCTCCTTCTTTGGGTAAACAGAAACATGATGAAACGCTGCAAGAGAGAAAAGATAGAAATAGATGTTATTTCAGAATATAGTGTAAGCCAGTTTTAATATTTTCAAGTGAAATCCATTTCTAAAAACTAAAAAGGAAAAAAAAAAAAAGAACATGAAGTCTCTGGCCAAGCAAGGTAGAAAGAAGTTATCCATTATTTATAGCATCAATAGCACATCTACATAGTTAGATGACTGTTGGGAACTGGGAAAAGGATGGCACTGTGGGAAAGAGCAGCAATTGTAGTCATGCTGAGGTGGTTTTGAAAAAGAGCTTTGTCACTTACTAGCTGTGTGATCTTGAATAAGTTGCTAAACCCTCTAGCAGTTGCCATGGAGTTGTTATGATGAACACTGTAAGCACTTTATAAAGGTGTTGTTTTAATTTTTGATCTTGGGGAGCTCAGACATGAGTACAGAGATAAAGAAATAGACATGTGGTTGGAGATTTCCTAGAACAATCAGTTAATAATTTTACCCAATTATTAATAAGTGTCCTATATGTGGCATTTCATTAAGCACTGTAAAAATCTAACCAGAACATCAAAGTCCTAGATTCTGAACATAAATGGAGTCTATTGTCTTATTTTTACATTTACACATTTACTCAGGTATTATTTTTCTAGTGATTAAATATCTAATTACCAATAGTATTCAAGTATTTTTCTTATTTGAAATGTGAAACTACTTGAATAACAATGATGACAGGAGCCTATTACAATGATTGGTACACAGTAGGTGCTCAATAAATGTCTGTTAAACTGAGAGCTATTCTGGGACTTCAGTTGGCTGCTCACAGGGTTGGATACAGACCTAAGAATTCCTGATGTAATATCCTGAATAGGTAAGGAATGACTAATTCAGTGCTGAATCAAGTTCAGCTATAAATTTAATGTTTTAAAACATAATGATTCACAGAGAAGATTACACCTAAGTTTCCTTCAGTAGACAGGATATTTTTTATGTATTATATACTATCTTTAGAAAGTACATACCAAAAAGCAAACTCATTAAAACTGCAGAAAATTCCCAGAGCCTTGTGTCATGTTTAAAGTAAAAGCACACCAAATCTGAAATTTTTTAAAGTTGGAAACATTAGAAGCTGTGAACAACATTGTGCTTTCAGCACCCCAAAAAAATCAGTCCCCTTTGCTCTGTCGCTCAGCCATGAGAGGACAACTTCTTCTAGCAAATCAAAAGATAAAAACCATGGTATTTGCAAAGATAGGGAACAAATACTTACATATGCCAATGTTACTATAGTTGTTTTTGTGTAAGACAGCAAAATTAATATTATTAATTAAACTATAGCATTTTGTGGTTTACAAAGTGCTTTTATTTATATTATTTTTTTCAATAATCCTAGGAGATAGATAGTATTATTCCTACTTTATGAGGTAGAAAACTGTATAGTGTTAATAGGATAATTTTCTAAAATAAGAAATTTTTATACTGTAGGAGAGATCCAATTGTTTCTTTTTGGATTGCTTTCTGTAGATTCATTTGTTAGTCAATGTTTGGCTAATATATCAAAATAATGGATGACTAGTACAGAAACACTCCCTTAGAAGTAAAGTTCAAATTTCATCACTGGCTTGTAGAGAAAATTTATCAGGAGGCATAAAAGACAACTAAACAGCTATGTGAACTAAGGGAATAGTTCAAGTCTGAACTTATGAGGTTCATAAGCAAATTCCAGAATGCCTTAAGTCATATCAAGGTTGAAGGGGAATTGAAAGCAAAAAACCTTAAGTACTCTTGGGTATTAAAGCTCCACATTAATAAAAATTTGTTCATTTTATCATAAAGACAGAAAAAATACTCTAAGAATATACAATATAATCAAACTAAACCCCCCAGAATATCCCTCCTCTCACAGCTCCTAGAATTTGCAAATGAGTAGACCCCTAGAAATAACAAAGTCCTGTCAAAACATAAAGTCTCTGTTCTTAAAGGCTATGGCTCTGACAATACAAAATAATAACGTGATGATTTTATTCACATTACTATGAAAGCTTGCCTTATATTATCAGGCAACCTCTGTAATGATTTGGGGGGCATTGTTTTAGGTTAAATGTATTAGCCTAATGTAATACACTCTTGCATACTGATGTTCCACAATTAAAGATTCATTCCTTTGCCTTAAATATCCTTGTTCCCATTAAAATAGAAAAACAACACCTACTATCATCACCCTCTCCTGAGGAAAGAAAATATTTCTAACACTAATGACCTTCTAATTGCCGAAGTCAATGGATTCTTCTCAGTAATTACCTTACTTAATACCTTGGATACTCCTCCTCACTTGGAATTTTTTTTCTCCTTTTAGTTTCTAGGATATCTAGTTCTGGTTCTTGTCCTGTCTCAGACCATTCCTTCACTGAATCTTCTGACTCCTTATCGGCCACCCATTCCTTGAAATTTTCATCATGGTTCACCCTTAATTTACATCTCACACTCTATACAGTTTCCCTTAGTGATCTCATTCACTCCTAGGAAATAATGACCCCTAAGTCAGTTTTGTGATGTAGAGGGAAAGAGATATTTTGGTAATTTTGTTTACATGACCTGATCCTGTAGTCCTGCTGCTAGGCCACAGCAGATTGGATTAGGGATGAACACCTGGGTAAATCTGATTTACTCTCCCAGAAGTTTTAGAAGCAGGACTGAGATATTCTTCATTCTATATTATCCTCATGAATAGATGACATGTAAATTCAGAGCTGCACAGGGGTATCAAGTCTGGCTATATGAGTGTCTAAGAAAGGGAGAGCCAAACTGCAAAGAGAAAGATAAAAATAACGCAGATACACTGAGAAAAGCAGACGTGAAAGCTCATACAAAGAAAAGATGGAGGTGGGGAATGAAAAGGAAAAGTGAGAATAGGAGAGACTGAAAAAGGCAGTCAGAGACAGAGATACACAGAAAACTGACTCCTGGAAATCCTGATAGCCTTCTGGTTCTGGTCTCTTCCATGGTGCAATTATAATTGTTGCCTTTGTGTTCTTTGAGAGAACTCAGCCTTCTTCCAACAAATTCTCTTTATTTTTAAGCTAACCTGAAGTGGTTCTCTTATACCCAAAGAGGGCTTACAATATTTACTACTTATAAAACATTTATTTAATAATATACATATTATATATAACTTGCAAACATATCTTAACCCCATGTATGTAGAGATATAAAATATAAAGGCAATGTATGTATATGTTAAATAGATTACACAATAAAATATTTAAACATATAACACACACATGGATGTGTGTGTATGGTTGACATGTCACATATGCAACATACTCAAAAATAAAAATTGTGGGAGAAAAATATCAGCATACTCAACTTCCATAAGCTCTCCTAAGTTTTTATCTATCTGTTTGAACTTTTCAGTTCTTAAGTCTGATGGCTGTAAAACTGCAACTTTCCTTCCTAGACTTTAGTTCTAACAGACCCAGAACTGTAAAAACTGTGGTATAGATTTATAAGAGGAAACTAGTGTTTATAACTGTCAGCATCCTTATGTATCAGTTAAGTCATAAAAAGGATAATTAGACAGAAATTTACCAGCTCATAGAGAAAAAGAGTGAGTGGATGATAAGGCAGCTGAGACAAAAAGCACAGACTATTCTTTCAAAAGTTTAGCTTCCTAAAAGCAGGAACTAGACAAAAACACTTTCAGCAGTCATAACCCTGTGTATTTCTGGTTCTCCTCTTGACTCTTGGACTGTTTTTTGTTTTTTTTTTAATTGGGAAGTACAGTCCCTCCAATTTCACTCTACTTTATAAAGATAATTTTGACTGTTCTGGGTCCTTTAACATGCCATGTACATTTTGGGATCAGCTTATCAATTTGTAAGAATTGTATTGAATTAATAGATCAATTAGAAGAGAATTGTCATAAAAATAATATTGGGGCTTCCAATCCATAAACATGAACTATCTCTTTTTATTTATTTAGATTTTCTTTAATTCTTCTAAGCAGTATTTAGTGGATTTTAAAAATCTCATACTTCTTTTAATTTATTCCTAAATTGTTTGTTCTCTTTGATGCTATTCTCATTGGGTCTGTTTTCTAGTTTACATTTTGGATTATTCATTGCTGGTATATAAATATGACTGAGTTATATATTTATATATCAATATTATATCCTGCAACCTTGCTGAACTAGTTTATTAGTTCTAATAATATTTTTATGGAATTCTTAGGACATGAAGATTATGTCATCTGTGAATAAAAACAGTTTTTCTTCTTTCTTTCGAACATGAATGCTTTTTATTTCTTTTTCTTGCTTGATGGCATTAACTAGAACCTTTAGTACAATGCTGAAGAGAAGAGTGCAGACATTCTTGTCTTGTTCCTGATCTTAGGGGGAAAGCATTCAATCTTTCACCATTAAGTATGATGTTAACTGTGGGTTTTTTGTAGATGCTCTTTATCAGGTTGAGGAAGTTCCCTTTTATTCCCAGTTTGTTCAGAATTTTTATCATGAATGGGTATAGGATTTTTGTCAAATGCTATTCTCCATCTATTGTCCTTTACACTTTCAGATGTTAAAGCAACCTCGCTTTGTGAGGTAAATCCCAATTGGTCATGGAGCATAATCCTTTTTACATGTTGGTGGATTCGGTTTGCTAACATGTTGTTGAAGACATTTGTGTCTATGTTCATGAGAGATATTGTTCTATAGCTTTCTTGTAATGTTTCGTCTGACTGTGTTGTCAGGATAATGTTGGTCTCACAGAATGAGCTGGAGAGTGCTCCTTCTTCATTTGCTGAAAAGTTTGTGAAGGATTGGTGTTATTTCTTCTTTAAGATGACTGCTTGTAAGAAAAGAAAAACAAAAACTTTCATCTGTGTGTCCTTCATTGCACCAAGTACAAGGTTTTAACCACAAAAATATAAAAAATGAACTAAATAATGCAACTATATCTAAGAACTGGCTAAAACAGTATTTAAACAGCATCCTGAACTTCAACCAGAGGTACTTTTAAAATGGGAGAATAAATACTATGAAAAATAATCTCACAACTAATTTTAAGTTTAGAAAAACGTGAATATTTACTTACGAGGTAATAGCTCTCTATCAGCAGTCTCTGTGCAGCTGGGATAAGGATAAAATAGATGGCCTTTCTCTAATGGGTATGGAATCATTCTAAAAGCTGAGGGAAAAAAATATACATCTGTTGACATGCAATTCAATCTCACTTTCATCATCTACTACAATCAAAGCTATTTTGGAGATGTATTTTTATTAAAATGTCTCACAGCATTTTAAAAATTTATTTTAAAAAAATATTTGGTCAGTTGTGCCCGGTCTTAACTGCAGCATATGGGATCTTCAATCTTCAAGGCAGCATGGGGGACCTTTTTTTTTTTTTAGCGGCATGTGGAATCTAGTTCCTGGACTACAGGTGGAACCTGGGCCCCGGGCATTGGGAGCATGGAGTCTTAGACACTGGACCGCCAGGGAAGTCCCCCACACAGCATTTTGTTTTCTTTTTTAGAGACGCATTTTACATGAAAGAAACAAAATATGCAGAGGAACAAATAAGAAAAATAAAATTTATTTAGAGAATAGTGAATGTTCTAACTGAAATAAAACTAAAGGGAGTAGTGCAAGATAAGGCTGGCTGTGTCCTTCTTGCCTCAGTCTCCTCATTAAAAACATAAAATACTTAACTCTCCACATGAGAATTCCACTTCTTAGGGAAATCACACAACTGTTGTAGTTATAACTTCTGTCAACCTAAGAGTTTTCAATGGATCCTAACTTCATATTTGAGCTGTTACCAAAGTTTTCTGTAAGCAGAGCTTAATTTAGATCAGGGGTCACCAAAGTACCTAAATTAAGTATCTAATGGGGTCGGCTTTGGTCAGACCTGGACCACTATCTGTTTTTGTAAATAAAATTATATTAGAATATAGCCATGTCTTCTCATTTATATACTATATATTATAAAAGGCTGCTTTCATGCTGTAAGAGTTGGGTAATTGTGACAAAGACTATGGCCCACAATGACTAAATACTTACCAACTGGTCCTTTACAGAAAAAGTTTATGCATCCCTTATCTAGATTATCATCCATTCCTACAGACTTCTTAAAGAAGAAATCTTTATTGATCTATTCAACTATCAAAATTATAAGGTTTTTGTTTCTCCTTTAGTGCTTGGATCTAGGAACTTTTGTCAAAATACAGATTTTTGTTTTGCTGCAATAAAATACAGCAACTTTTCCAAAGTCACAGAGCAAATTAAATCAGTGACACTAGGAAATCATTCATTAAGATGATTATTCATGAAACATAGAATCAATCATCTACTTATGGAGAACTTCCTATGTGCCAAGCAGGCTAGGCATTGACGACACATACAAAGTGAATAAGATAGACTATGTAGTTTTGAGAAGCTTGCAAACTATTGGAGAAAAAAAACAAAAGAAAATCTAAGTATCCCAAAACATCGAACTCCTCAGTTTTAGTAGTTCCGCTTTCACTAATCTGTATATTGTCAGTATCAAGCACAGTGCCTAATGCTCAGCAAAAGTTTATACAGAGGTTCCCAAATTTTCTTGATTCAAGGACACATGGTGCCCTTCATGTCTCAGTAATTTGCTATGATGCCCCAACGCTTTAAGAAGTATTTAACAATTCCACTTATTAAGTAGTGGTTCTGATAATTTCAAAAGTTTTTGTTCTAACAGCTTAGCAGCAAGTTGAAAAAAATACACATAAATTAAAGGAAAAAAGTTATTTCATTTTTAAATAACCATCATTTCTCCCTAATGGGATATATGATCCTGTTGGACAGCACACAATTTCTCAAACCTCAGAATCACTTTGAATAATACCATCCTCATTTCCTGTTCTACACTGAGTTTTGTGTGATACTTCCTTTAATCATACAACTAACAAGAATCCAGCTTTGCAAAGCTGTGACAACACTGAAAGAAAACAGAGAATACTGTTGAAATCTTTAACTATCTAGAGCTACAGTTTGAATGGTGTATTGCTGCATTTCTATGAAAAATTTAAAATCTCATGGCACTGTTGTGAATTTACCAAAATATCCAAAAGTACCTCAGTGCAACGTTTGAGAACTGAGGAGGTTAACAAGTTTTAGTTGTTATTTAGAATGTGCACTGAATTTATTTTTAAATTTTCATCTATAGCTAACTTTAAGAAGTTACAAATGAGAGATCCGGTAGTCAGTGGAAAATAATTCAATTTTCCAAAGAAATATACAAATGGCCAATTAACACATAAAATATGTTCAAAATTATTAATTATTAGGGAAATGCAAATCAAAATGAGGTACTATTTCATACCCATTAGGGTGCTATTACCAAAAACCAGAAAATAACAAGTACTGGCAAGGATATAAAGAAAGTGAAACCCCTGTGCATTGCAAGTGGAATGTAAAATGGTTCAGCTGCTATAGAAAATAGTACAGTTGTTCCTCAAACAATTAAACACAAAATTATATGATCTAGCAATTCCACTTCTAGGAGTACATTGAAAAGAACTGAAAGCAAGAACTTAAACAGGTATTTATGCACCGATGTTCATAGCAGCATTATCCACAATAGCCAAAAGGTGGAAACAGCCTAAATGTCCACTGATGGATGAATGGATAAACAAAACTTTGTATATACTTATAATGGAATATTATTCATCCTTAAAAAGAAAAGAACTCTTACACATACTTCAACAATATGGTAAATGAAATAAGCCACATATAAAAGCACAAATGTATGATTTCACTTATATGAGACACCTAGAGTAGTCAAACTCATAGAGACAAAAAATAGAATGGTTACCAGGGGGCTGGGAAGGAGGAAAGAATGAGGAGTTATATTTCAATTGGTACAGAATTTCAGTTTGGGGTGATGAAAACACTCAGGATGGATGATGGTGATGGTTGCACAACAATGTATATGTATTTCACAGAACTGAGCATTTTAAAACATTTAAAATGCTTTTATGTTATATACATTTTACCACAATTAAAAAATCTGGGGGGGATTTCCCTGCTGGTTCAGTAGCTAAGACTCAAAGCTCTCAATGCAGGGGGCATGGGTTCAATCCCTGGTCAGGGAACTAGATCCTACATGCCACAACTAAGACCTGGCACAGTCATCATATACATTTAAAAAAAATAAATATTAAAAAAAAATTTTTTTAAAGAACTAAGTTGATTTCAGTAATGAAAAAAAGTTTCATACTGTACACATCTCAAAACAAAACCAAAAGAAGTCCAATTTAAAAAATATTAGAATAGCAAGCCACATTAAAAAATAAATGAAGGGATATAAATTTTCATTTTCTTTCCTTATAAATATTTAACTCACATGAACATACAGCAGAATACCCAAACAGTTTTTCATTCTGCTTTTCCTAAATGTGGTTTTAATATAAGCACATTACACATTTCTTCTACCAATAAACCAATAAACACCATGGAGTTCACTTTCAAACCAATCTGAACAATAAATCCTTAAGGAAACCCAGATAATCTCATTAAAAAAAGACTGCCTGTGAATGCAATGAATAGTCAGGAAGACTAGCACTGCATCTGGAAGAGAGCACTCACTGCCTTCCCACGTGCACTGCAGCAGGTTAAGAGCGCCTTCTATCCTCTTCCAGTGTTGAAGGTGAAAGAACGCGTAGGCAACTGCTTCACTGTCACCCCGCTTCAGAATGTGTTCTGGAGGTAAAATGAGGCTTTTCATCTCTAATAAATACTAGAGAAATAACATACACACATAGACACACCACACACACACAAAAAGAAAATTATGTTAAATTCAAACATCCACAAAAGTGTAGATTCAAATTTATTAAAGTTAACTAGATTTAAAAAACAAACATTAAGCTAGTTGAAATGACAAGAAGGTCTTACTGATAATGTGTATAAAATGCTTGTATATATGCAAATCCCAAAGATCAGAATATGCCTAAAGGTAAAAATAAGGTAATAAATGACTTATGTGCAACTTTAAATACAAAATGGAAACTAAGCTGAAGAAATAATGTGTGAGAAAATTATTTATTTTTCCAAAAAAGAATAAATGTAAAAAATTATAAAACACAATTTTGGAACAACATGTTGTGGCAACATTTTTTTCTTTGTTTCTCTTTTACTGTATGTGTGTGTGTTAGTCACTCAGTTGTGTCCAACACTCTGTAACCCCATGGACTATGGCCTGCCAAGCTCCTCTGTCCATGGAATTCTCCAGGCAAGATACTGGAGTGGGTTGTCCTTTTACAGTGAAGGAATTCAATTGTTAAGAAGTTCAATTCTTAAACACACGGCAAAGCACTATGCTTGTTAGGGAATGCCAAGACACTATTCTCTGGAGCTTCCTAATGTATTGAGAAACACAGATTTTTTTTGGTGGGGGGGGGCGGGGGGCGTGCTATGCAGCTTCTGGGATCTTTGTTCCCCAACCTGGGATCAAATCTGGCCCCTTGGCAGTTGAAAGCACAGATTCCCAACCAATGGACCACCAGGGAATTCCCAAGAAAGACAGATTCCTTAAATTAATTATAATCAGACTATGTGCTTTACTATAGGTACAGATACATACAGGCATATGGATAGGAGGTATTATTTTTTAATTTAGCTTTTAATAACAGCTTTATTGAGATGTAATTTACTTACTTTACAGTTCACCCACTTAAAGTACACAATTCAATACTTTTTAGTACGTTAACAGATATGTGCAACCATTACCACAATTTCAGAATATTATCATCACTTCAAAAGGAAACCCAAATGTATATTAGTGTAGCCACTACAGAAAACAGTAAGAGATTCCTCAAGAAACTAAAAATAGAGTTACTATATGATCTGGCAATCCTGCTCCTGGGCATATATCTGGAGTAAACTATAATTTGAAAAGATTCACAGACCTCAATGTTCATTGTGGCAATATGTACAATAGCCAATCTAAATGTCCACTGACAGATGAATGGATAAAGATGTTGTGTATATATATAAAATATATATATGTATATATATATTTTATATATATATAATGGAATACTACTCAGCCATAAGAAAGAATGAAATAATGTAGCAACATGGATGGACCTAGAGATGATCATACTTAATGAACTAAGTTAGAAAGACAAATATCATATGATATCACTTGTATGTGGAGTTGAAAATATGACACAAATGAACTTTTATGAAACAGAAACAGACTCACAGACACAGAGAACAGACTTATGGAAGCCAGGGGAAGGGAGGTGGGAGAGGGATGAATTGAGAGTTTGAGATCAGCAGATGCAAAAGATTATAGAGAGAATGGACAAACAACAAAGTCCCATTTAGCACAGGTAAATATATTTAATATCCTGTGATAAATCATAATGGAAAAGAATATGAAGAAGAATGTATATATACGTATAATGAAATCACTTTGCTCTACAGTAGAAATTAATGCAACAATGTAAATTAACTATACTTCAATAAATTTAAAAAAAAAGAAACACCATACTCTTTAGTTATCACCCTCTCCATTCCCAATCTCCCTCAGCTCTAAGCAACCACTAATATACTTTCTGTCTCTATAGATTTGCCCATTCCAGATATTTGATACAAACAGAATCATTTAATATATGGTCTTTTGTGACTGGTTTAATTCACTTGGCATATATCCATGTTGTAGCATGTATCAGGACACCATTCTTTTTGTGGAACAATATTATACAAAATAATATTCCATTGTATAATATAAATAATATTATAAATATAAATAATAGTATAAATAATATTCCATTATATGGATAGACCACATTTATTTTTCCATTCATCATTTGATGGATATTTGGTCTTCACCTTCTGGCTATTGTGAATAGTACTACAATAAACATTGATGCTGTCAAAGTGCTACACTCAGTATGTCAGCAAATTCAGAAAACTCAGCAGTGGCCACAGGACTGGAAAAGGTCACTTTTCATTCCAATCCCAAAGAAAGGCAATGCCAAAGAATGCTCAAACTACCACACAGTTGAACTCCTCTCACACGCTAGTAAAGTAATGCTCAAAATGCTCCAAGCCAGGCTTCAGTGATATGTGAACCATGAACTTCCAGATGTTCAAGCTGGTTTTAGAAAAGGCAGAGGAACCAGAGATCAAATTGCCAACATCCGCTGGATATCGAAAAAGCAAGAGTTCCAGAAAAACATCTGAAACATTATTGACTATGCCAAAGCCTTTGACTGTGTGGATCACAATAAACTGTGGAAAATTCTGAAAGAGATGGGGATACCAGACCACCTGACCTGCCTCTTGAGAAACCTGTATGCAGGTCAGGAAGCAACAGTTAGAACTGGACATGGAACAACACACTGGTTCCAAATAGGAAAAGTAGTATGTTAAGGCTGTATATTGTGACTGTAGTTATTTAATTTATATGCAGAGTACATCATGAGAAACACTGGTCTGGATGAAGCACAAGCTGGAATTAAGATTGCCAGGAGAAATATCAATAACCTCAGATATGCAGATGACACCACCCTTATGGCAGAAAGTGAAGAACTAAAGAGCCTCTTGATGAAAGTTAAAGAGGAGAGTGAAAAAGTTGGCTTTTAGAGTTCAACATTCAGAAAACTAAGATCATGGCATCCAGTCCCATCACTTCATGGCAAATAGATGGGGAAACAATGGAAACAGTGGCTGACTTTATTTTTTTGGTCTCCAAAATCACTGCAGATGGTGACTGCAGCCAAGAAATTAAGAGACGCTTACTTCTTGGAAGGAAAGTTATGACCAACCTAGACAGCATATTAAAATGCAGAGACATTACTTTGTCAACAAAGGTCCATCTAGTCAAGGCTATGGTTTTTCCAGTAGTTACGTATGGATGTGAGAGTTGGACTTAAAGCTGAGTGCCAAAGAATTGATGCTTTTGAACTGTGGTGTTAGAGAAGACTCTTGAGAGTCCCTTGGACTGCAAGAAGATCCAACCAGTCCATCCTAAAGGAAATCAGTCCTGAATATTCATTGGAAGGTCTGATGTTGAAGCTAAAACTCCAATACTTTGGCCACCTGATGCAAAGAGCTCACTCATTTGAAAAGACTCTGATGCTGGGAAAGATTGACGGCAGGAGGACAAGGGGGCGAGAGAGGACAAGATGGTTGGATGGCATCACCAACCCTATGGACATGAGTTTGGGTAAACTCCGGGAGCTGGTGATGGACAGGGAGGCCTGGAGTGCTACGGTTCATGGGGTCACAAAGAGTGGGACATGACTGAGTGACTGAACTGAACCATTGTGTATGGATTTTTATGTGAGCAAAGGTTTTCATTTCTCTTGGGTCTAGGAGTGGAATTGCTATGTCATATGGTAATTCTATGTTTAAGAGGCAATAATTATGTTTTAAACCACTGATGGGCTTCCCTGGTGGCTCAGCTGGTAAAGCATCCGCCTGCAATGTGCAAGACCTGGGTTTGATCCCTGGGTTGGGAAGATCCCCTAGAGAAGGGAAAGGCTACCCACTCCAGTATTCTGGCCTGGAGAATTCCATAGACTGTATAGTCCATGGGGTTGCAAAGAGTTGGACTCAACTGAGCAAATTTCACTTTCGCTTTGAGGAAGTGGCGGAAAGGGATGGAAAGGTGGAAAGTGGATAGCATATTGAGAGGTGTGGTGGGGAGAATAGGAAGACATATTCATTGTATAGGGCCAACTTGAATTCTTGAGACTAAAGAGCATAGTACAAGATGCATTCAAGTAAGTGAGCATGACTGTTAAGGTTGCTGCTGCTGCTAAGTCACTTCAGTTGTGTCAGACTCTGTGCGACCTCATAGACAGCAGCCCACCAGGCTCCCCTGTCTCTGGGATTCTCCAGGCAAGAACACTGGAGTGGGTTGCCATTTCCTTCTCCCTGTTAAAGTTATAACCTATCAATTCTTATTCACATATGAAATGAAATTCTATCTTAAACTCTTGAAGAAATGCTTCCCTTAATATTATAATCCATATCAAAAGCAGCATAATCACAGTTATTGCACTATTCAAATATACTAATTAGATGAAGAAAGATGCACAATTAACTACTTGTGGTGGGGTCTTCCCAGGTGGCGCTAGTGCGGGTTCAATCCCTGGGTCGGGAAGACCCCCTGGAGAAGGGCATGGCAACCCACTCCAGTATTCTTGCCTGGATAATCCCATGGACAAAGGGGCCTAGTGGGCTACAGCCCATAGGATCGCAAAGAATTGGACATGACTGAAACAACCTAGCACGCATGCACAGTGGTGGGGTTAGTTGCTAAGTCGTGTCCAATTCTTGCAACCCCATGGACTTTAGCCCTCCAGGCTCCTCTGTTCATAGGATTTTCCGAGAAAGAATACTGGAGTGGGTTGTCATTTCCTTCTCCAGTGGATATTACCATCCAAGGGATCAAACCCCACTCTCCTGCACTGAAGGCAGATTCTTTACTGACTGAGCTACCAGGGAAGCCAACTTGTACACCACCTTTATTATTAAAGTAGTCAACTTAAAATCTTTTAAAAATAGCTAGCTTCTTCTTCCAAAGACTGAGACCAGAGTACACCTCCCGTACTAGAATAAGTTTGAAATCACCTTTTTGGGTCTCAATAATTTGATACCGAATTATGTGTCATACAGTGCAAACCACATTAATGTCTATTATAAAATATAAAAAGAGAGACATTCCAAAGGTGTCTTAAAAGATATATCCTTACATTTCAATAATGAGATAAACAGCAT